AAACCAGATACACTGAATCTAATAGAAGAGAAAGTGGGGAAGAGCTTCAAACACATGGGTGCAGGGGAAATCTTCCTAAACAGAACATCAATGGCTTATGCTCTAAGATCAAGAATTGATAAATGGGACATCATAAAATTGAAAAGCTTCTGTAAGGCAAAGGACACTGTCAATAGGACAGAATGGCAACCAACAAATTGGGAAAATATCTTTACCAATCCTCCATTCGATAGAGGGCTAATATCCAATATATACAAAGAACCCAAGAAATTAGACTACAGAGAACCAAATAACCCTATTTAAAAATGGGGTACAGAGCTAAACAAAGAATTCTCAACTGAGAAATATCAAATGACTGAGAAGCACCTAAAGAAATGTTCAACATCCTTAGTCATCAGGGAAATGCAAATCAAAACAACCCTGAGATTCCACCTCACACCAGTCAGAATTGCTAAGATCAAAAATTCAGATGATAGCAGATGCTGGCAAGGATGTGGAGAAAGAGGAACACTCCTCCATTGCTGGTGGGATTGCAACCTGGAACTACCACTCTGGAAATGAGTCTGGCGGTTCCTCAGAAAATTGGACATAGTACTACCTGAGGACCCAGCTATACCACTCCTGGGCATATACTCAAAAAATACTCAAACATTTAACAAGGACACATGCTCCACTATATTCATAACAATCTCTTTTATAATAGCCAGAAGCTGGAAAGAACCCAGAAGTTCTTCAACAGAGGAATGGATACAGAAAATGTGGTACATTTACACAATGGAGTATTACTCAGCTATTAAAAACAATGACTTCAAGAAATTTTCAGGCAAATGGATGGAACTAGAAAATATCATTCTGAGTGAGGTAACCCAGTCACAAAAGAATACACATGGTATGCACTCACTGATAAGTGGATATTAGTCTAAAAGCTCAGAATACCCAAGATACAATTCATAGACCACATGAAGCTCAAGAAGAAGGAAGACCAAAGTGCGGATGCTTCAGTCCTTCTCAGAAGGGGAAACAAAATACTCAAAGGAGGAAATATGGAGACAAAGTGTGGAGCTGAGACTCAAGGAAAGCCCATTCAGAGACTGCTCTACCTGGTGATCCATCCCATATACAGACACCAGGCACTGTTGCTGATGCCAAGAACAGCTTGAGTCCGATATAGCTGTCCCCGAGAGGCTCCACCAGAGTCTGACAAGTACAGAGATGGATGCTTGTAGCCAACCATTGGACAGAGCATGGGATCCCCAATGGACGAGTTAGAGAAAGGACTGAAGGAGCTGAAGGGGTTTGCAACCCATAGGAATAACAACAATATCAACCAACCAGGCTCCCCAGAGCTCCTAGGGACTAAACCACCAACTGAAGAGTATACATGGAGGGACCCATGATTCCAGCTGCATATGTAGCAGAGGATGTCCTTGCCAGGCACCAATGGGAAGAGAGGCCCATGGTCCTGTGAAGGCTCAATGCTCCAGTGTAGGGGAATGCCAGGGCAGGTATGCAAGAGTGGGTGGGTGGATGAGGGAGCACCCTCATAGAAGCAGGAGAAGGGAAGATGGAATAGGGGGTTTCCCAAGGGGAAACTGGAAAAGGGGATAACATTTGAAATGTAAATAAATAAAATATCCAATAAAAATATATTCTCTAATGAGATACTAGTTACTGACTTACAAATTTATTTCTTCCTTTTTGGCATCTACACTGTTAAGGAAATATGCTGAGTGCTGCATACTGTTTATATTTCTGCTTTTTAATATTCTTATGATGCGTTGACTTTTTTAATGTTGAAGATGAAATATTTGAGAAAGTTAAGGGCCTTCCCTACACCCATCTGTCTTATTGATAGTGGAGCTGAGAATCTTACTCCAGCAATCTAAATGGATCTCCAGAATTCATACTCTTACCCCTTACATCCTCCACGCCATTCCTAGAAAGGCTCTGGTTCCTGACAGTCCAAGGTTTGTGTAAAGAATACTGTGGAGAAATCACAAGGTCTGGGGATGGTTCTCTGCACCCGTTTTGGCTGTGTCTGCTCCCCAGCTTAGCTTTCTCATCTGTGAAAACAGGACTATAACCTAGATGTTGGAGCGTGGAGCACTGAATGAGAACATGAAATGACACTTGGCTGAGATGTCCACATCAGATTCTCAAGCGCTGCTGAATGACTGGAGGAGCCAGAGGAATATGAAAACTATAGGTGATAGGTGTAGTGATCATCTACAAACAGGTATTATAACAAGAGTTTGCCTGGAGCATGGCTGAGCTGGTAGAGTTCATTTTTTTTTTTAAGAATTAAGCCAGGTGTGATTCAGATTCATGGTTTTTTTTTTTTTTTTTTTTTGGTTTTTCAAGACAAGGTTTCTCTGTATAGCCCTGGCTGTCCTGGAACTCACTCTGTAGACCAGGTTGGCCTCGAACTCAGAAATCCGCCTGCCTCTGCCTCCCAAGTGCTGGGATTAAAGGCGTGCACCACCACTGCCCAGTAGATTCATGGTTCTTACAGAGTTGGATTCCCAGCACCTACACAGTGGCTCACAACCTTCAACAACCAGTTCCAGGGAATCAGACACCCTCTTCTGACTTCTGTAAGCACTGCACACATATGGCACAATACCCAATCTAGACAGGCTTATCTCTGCTTTCTTAAGGGAAAACCCCCAGTTTTTACACAGACAAAATATATGTTTTGTCTTGTGTACCTGTGAGACAAAATTCCTCATAGCAATTTGGACAAGGTTTTATTTTATGAGGGCTGACACTCAACAGGATCCAGATGGTGGACCCCAACAAACAATGATAGAAAGGACACTACAGAAGGCATGGTGATTCCAGTATGTTCTTTCATAATGTCTTTTGTATTCTGGGAACCAGTTCAAGATAAGTTAAAAATATGACCAACATAAAGAAATATTTAAAGTTGCAAAGGTTAAAGGTAAGCCATACTGCTGCTCAGACTATTACTCCCTGGCCCCTTTTCATTATAGGATGTAAATCCAAATGATAAAGATAAAAAAGACAAATTTCCAAATTGGTACCAGATAGAGACAAATCAATGGTTTTTAATGGCCTGTGTCATGACCACATGAATTTAGAAGCACTGATGTATACTTACTGTTTCTGTTGGTTTAGCTAGCTTCTTCTTGCCTACACCCATGTTAAATATCCATTTGGGCCCATGTAACAAAATGATCAAATCCAAGTTAGTTTCCAGATAGTGTTAGTTACATTTTAAATAAAAGGAAAAGAGACACAATCTTGGCAGTACCTGACAAGAAGGATGCATCTGTTTCAGAACTGACTCTGTTTGAGAGTCCTACTAAATCTGTAACTCTCAAGTTGAAGATGCGTTTAACTTTGTTATTCTTTTATACATAAAACATAGAGGAACACTAATGTTCCCGTGAGAACACTAATGTACTGTATTACTCAAGGGTACATCCGAACCAGGGCCTGTGAGATGGCTCAGCAGGTAAAGATGCTTGTCACCAAGCCTAAGTTGGCTCCTCCATGGTGAAAGGAAAAAACTAACTAGCAAGTGGTCCTTTAAATTCAACACACAACATGGCGCACACACTGAAATAAAAAAATGATAAAACTAATAGCTCTTAATGATATAACAACCAGTACACAATTCAAACAGTAAGAGAACCTTAGCATTTTATTTTCTCTTATTTGAAAGGTCTTCAGAATTTCAATGTAAAGAATTTAGCTATGATGTTAAAAAACAAAGCTACTCAGTTTCTAGTCCATTTTTTAATACTATAAAAAGCATGGGAAAGAGCTCAGTAACTTTAAAGCCTCATTGACTCTTTTGAGTACTTAAGCCTTAGGAGTGTTAGAAATACTTAGAAAAAATATTTATAAAAGGACTATCTTTTTATATTTTTATATATAATACATTATATGCTATTATATTATACCACATAGTATATTAATTTTAAAAGCTCTATATAAATATAATATATACTTAATGCATATTATATATCATATATTATAAATATATAATACATATATAAATATGTATAATGCATATTATATATCATATAATATAAATATATAAAAATAATATAAATATATATTATATACACATACATTAAAATTAAATATATATATTTGTATATTTATAATTTATATGATTCATATAATTTTTATATTTATAATTTATATAAATATATAATTTATAGTAAATATAAATATATAAATATATTTAAATATATTTATATGTACATATCTATTTTTGTGTATATTATATAATATATAGTGTGATATAAATATATAAATATATATTATAAAAAGATTATCCTTTATAAAAGGATTATCATCCACTAAATATTTGCAATGTAAGCCAGAGTTTTAAATCTTCCAGGAATAAATGAAAGCTCACAGTATGCTGTAGTTGAAGGAGCATCTTCTGCCTAGGGTCTTTAAGCCCTCAGGAAGTCCTCTGTGCTTGGCAGGTGGCCTGTGCTCACCAGAGAAGATTGGTTTTTCTCTCAGTCTCCCCATTTGCCCTCCAGGATCAGAGTATTCTATCTTTTCTCAGCTATCTATGCTTCCTTACGTTTTTCTTCACAAACGTTGAACTACTGTCCCATATCAAAAACAAAACCAATAAGGTGCAGAGAGCCTGCAAAGTAAAACGTCCTCAGCGGGTGAGTCAAAGCAGTCATTTTGATCGTTTCCTAAACAGTCTCTTCATTAACTTCTTTAGCCATTTAGATTTGGAGGAGGGTGGAGGAAGAGTAAACTATTAACTCAGATACTTGCCTTTTTACAACTTGAAACCTTCTGAAGTGTGTGGTAAACGATCAGGTCTCTGTCACCATTCTATCTTGGGAGAAGTATCCCTGAAGAGGTAGTGTTCGAGCGATGTCCAGGGAAGCCATTACTAGAACCTCCAGAAGACTGAGGTGTTGGACCAGGGCGTGGCCCGCAGGCCCCAGTGAGTCTGCGCACTGGTTCTCATCCCTCTGCCCTGAGAGAGGGCTGTTGCCCTTGACAACTCGGGCGCTTGAGGAGCTTGACAACCACCTGGGAGCTAGACTGGGCACTGCTGCCTCTGATAGCTATGCAGCCAGGTCTAGCGCTGAGAGCACCATCCACTGTGATCCTTCTCTTCAGCCTGTGCCTGGGCCTGATAGGGTGAAACTGGATCCTTGGGACTTGGGACAAGTGAAATGTGAGGTAACAGTGTGCCTCTTTACTTTTGCTAAACATCAAAATGGACACAGTCTGAAGAAAGGGGGTGAGGAGAGAGTGGGTGGGCACGTCTCCATTCTCCATCTTTTATACCCTCTCGTTTGACCTTTAAAAAAAAAACTTTATTTTTATTTACTTTTTGAGATGTGGGGTCTCACTACGTTGCCAAGATTGCTCTTAAATTCCTGGGCTAAGCAATCCTCCTGCCTTGGCCTCACAAGTAGCTGGCAGCAGCTATTCATTCTCGTCCACTCCTTCTAGATTTTATCTAGCACTGACTGCTGGTATATGGGTATATCATGAAGTGAGGAGGATAGTAAAATATTTAACATGACTATAACATCAAGATTCCCCACCAGTCGCCTTAAGTAAAGCATTCACTGTAAATATCAGTCAGAAAAGGGGGAAGGGAAAGTGGGGGTGGCTGAATGCATATGGCCAGGGAATTAATTAAGCAGGACTGGTCTCGAACACTTGGAAATGACCTTTTTAGTTTCTGGGGACTCAAAGTGATTTGAAGTTGAAAATTAAAAGTTGGAACATACTGTGGCAGGAATTATGGGCAAAGTGTTAAGATAAACATCTGAGTATCTAGCTTGTACGTCAAGCAGGCTTTGGGGAAAGGGATACTGCCAGTTGTTAAGCTATGAAAGGAAATGCAAAGTATGATTAGCATTAAGTTGATTGTGGATATAAATAAATCATTGAAGCTTTACTGAAATTCTCTAATACTATTCTCTTGTTGACCTTGATTTTTTTAACATCTAGAAACACTATTAAGTAGTAAGAAATGACTTGTACAATATATCAGTGTTTCCTAGTCATTGAAAGAGATTTTTTTTTAAATTCTGGAAATTTAGGTACACTTAGGGCTATGATAAGTTAATGTATAAAAAGAAAAATGCTGTGGCCTCTGAGTTTGCATAGGTTGTTGTCAAACACTAAGAATCAGATTATGAGTTTTCTCTGAGAGAGAGCATGCATATATGTTTGTGTTCTTTTGTAGAAGTTTGATAATAAAGATATCACCGAAGATTAGAAACAAAAACAACCAGAGGAAATTCTCAAAGTATGGGATGTAGAAATACAAAAATATCTTCATCAAATACTGTTGTTTTAGGGGTGAGTGTTGTGCTTTCCCATTACTGAGATAAAGTTCCTTCAGAGTAACTGAACAAAAGGGGGTTTGGTTTTGGCAGATCATTCTTGAAGGGATTTTGTCCAGCATGGTGGGGAGGATATGGCAGCAGGCAGAGGAGCACAGGCAGTGGGAAGAGGAGGCTTTGGACTTGCTGGTTACATTGCATCTGCATTCAGGAATCAGAGAGTAAACAGGAAGTGGGACTGGGCTACAAAGCCTCAATTTCCACCTCCAATAGCGAACTTTGCTCCAGTGACTCTCCACCTGTTTGTTTATTTGTTTGTTTGTTTTTTGAGACAATGCAAATGGACCCAAGTAGCAAGCTCGTGAAGCCATTTTAAAATCTGACAAAATAGACTTCAAAGCAAAGCTAATCAGAAGAGATAGGGAAGGACACTACATACTACATCCTCATAAAAGGAAAAAACTACCAACAATACTTTGCAATTCTTTTTTTTTTTTTTTTTGAGACAGGGTTTCTCAGTGTAGCCCTGGCTGTCCTGGAACTCGCCGTGTAAGACCAGGCTGGCCTCGACTCAGAAATCCGCCTGCCTCTGCCTCCCAAGTGCTGGGATTAAAAGCATGTGCCACCACTGCCCAGAGGAGTCTCCATCTCTTAAAAGATTCAACAACCTTCTCAAACAGCACCACCAGCCAGGGCAAACATGGGATGAATCCTATGGAAAGCATTCCACACTCAAACCATAGCAGTAAAATTCCGCTCTGATTGACTAAAACCAATCTTTTAAATGATGTCAATTTTTTAAAGGGTGATCTCTGTATCTGAATAACTAAGAGGCAGAAGTTTTTTTGGTTTTTTGTTTGTTTTAAATCATGCTGATTGTGTTGTGCAGCTTTTGCCTGGTCTCCCATCCCTTCACAAAGAATCATGCAATGAGATAGGAGCATGTCAACTAAATTACCACACCCAGGGAAGTCCAGCAATCTGAATGCATTACCTAATTTAAAAGCATCCATATATTTGTTACTTTAAAAGAGGTCTATCACTGATCTCTCTTAATCACTGTACTAATGAGTAGGATAAATACACCGCTCTATTCCACTATAAACCTGTGAGATTAAAGCTTACCTAGCACAATTAACAAACTCCAAGAAGTTAGGAAAGTCACACGATTTCACAATGAGCAGGGAGAAAACTGTTTCAGTTTTTCCTTTGAATTTTTAGACCATGCAGACCAGCTGTCCAAGCTGCTGCACAGCAGTTCTTAGCTCTGTGGTGACAGACTACTCTGGGAACAGAATGAAATACCTTAATCTGCTCCCAGATTCACATGCGTACTACCATCCTTTGCAATCTGGTTGGTTGGTTGGTTGGTTGGTTGGTTGGTTGGTTGGTTGGTGAGACTTTCTAAAACCCAGTGACAAGCTCTGAATTAAGAATTGTTTTTCAATATGAAAACTTGAGCTTGTCCCTCGTACACCAGAAGACTTCTTCACAAGCTTTGGCTTATCCTTCCTGGACAGATCCTATGATCCAATGAGAAATCCATAGTTGATGCATGACCAGTTTACCTCCATCTCTTATAAAGATGTTAAATGCTTCTTATGTTTATTGAAACTGTGTTTCCATTGCATCATTTCAATACTAACAGCTCTCTTTTCTCACAGGTTGTCCAGATTATGATTGGTATCTATCATGTATTCATGTGGTATTTCCTATTGCTGTTGTATATGGGACAAATTAAAGGAGTATTTGGAACTTATGAACCTTTAACTTACAAAATGGGAACTTCTTTATGGGGACTTGCTGTGAGTAGAATATATTTGTGTTGGTTTTTATTAATTTAGTAAATAATATTGATTCATATAGTGGTTGGTAGGAGCTAGTTTCTAAACAAAGTTTTCAGAAGAATCATATAACCAAATGCCATTTGCTGACTTATTCAATTTCTTCTCTCAACAAATATGTATTAACAACCTTTCCTCTACAAGTACTATCTAAGAAATGTAGTTAAGAGAGTAAATGGTAACCACAATGTAGGCTATATCCCTAGTATGTCAAAGACAAAGACGCTTAGCCACCACATCCATCAGCATGGTTAACCAGTTTTCAGGTTTGCCATTGCCTATACTCTGGTGTGGTTTCTAGGAAGCCACTGGGCAGAAGGAAACCTTGGAGTGTGGGGATCCCTAGAAGTCAAAGAATATATCATAAGACATAAAGGAAGATCAGCTCTTTTGTCTTCTATTTATTTGCCAGTAAGAGAAAGGTTGAAAACTGACTCCTGGTAACCATCATAAACATGACAAGTTGCCCTTTCCTGTGCCCTTCTAAGGTTGTCATGGTACTTTAAGAGGCTAACACAGAAGGGTAAAGGAATTCTCCATAAAACCCAGAGAGGAAAACTTCACCTCCTCTTTGGATCCTGTCTGGAGTCACAGATGAAAAAAAAAAAAGAAAAGAAAGAAGAAAAAAAAAACATGACAAGTAATTTCAGTAAAATGATGGTGTCAGACCTAATAAATTGAACTTTATTAGGAACATGGAATGAGAGCTGATGAGATTTTTGTATTTATTTTTTCATTGGCTTTTTGATAATTCCATATGTACAATGTGTTTTAATCATATCTACCTGACTCCCTCCCTCCAACTCCTCTTAGAACGCCTACCTAACACATCGCCCTTCCAACTTCATGTCTCTTTTTTCCTTCATGTCTTTTACTGGTGTGTGTGTCAGGGCAGGGGAACCAGAATTTAAAACAAGAAATGACATGAGATAGTAATAATAAGAGAAATGTTGCAATCATGTATTTATGTTGGCAGGAAATAGCAAATTTTAGTGAACAAATAACTACAGTCATGTTCTCCAGTGATAGTTCTCAATTAGTATTAATTTTGCTCCCTTAGAAAATGTGTCATAGTATCTGGAGATGTTCTTCATTTTTATATCTAGTGAGCAAAAGACGAGGATGCTACAAAGCACCTTATAATGCATAGAACATCAATTGCAAAGAATTGTAACCCTAAATGTAAATAGTGCTAAGGCAAGATAACAAGAGGAGAACAATTAATAAAAAACAGAACATATTCTCATTGGACTTGGAAGCTTGTGGAAGATTTCCTACAAACGCTTCAGGTGTCTCAATGTATCAGAAAAAAAGATAAGAGCTGAAAGTGGGGGTAGTCATGTGGACCAGCTAGGAGAGGAGAGAGTGTGAATTTACCATCTAGGAAAATGGAGAGGCTATGTGCCTTATAGGAAAGTAATTTGATCCTTACACAGCATCAAGGACTCAAGGTTAAGGAACATGACTTTGTAGTGAGAAAAGTCTTTACCCATGCCCTGTTCATCTGCATGGATGCAGGTATGAAGTAGGAGTAAAACTACATTTCATCAGGATTGTGATTAAAAGATTCCATTTTATACAAGTTTGCACTCCTACCATCAACGGAGGGTTGTTCCCCTTGATCCTCACCAGCATGTGCTGTCCCTTGATCTTAGTCATTCTGATGGAATCTCAGGATCATTTTGACTTGCTTTTCCCTGATGACTAAGGACAGTGAACATTTCTTTTAGTGCTTCTCAGCCATTCAAGATTCCCCTATTTAGAATACTCTGTTTAGCTCTGTGCCACATTTTTTAATTGGGTTACTTGGTTTGTTGGTGTCTAACTTCTTAAGTTCTTCATATATTTTGGATATCAGCCCTCTGTCAGATATAGGGTTAGTGAAGTTTTTTTTCCAAGTCTATAAGCTGCTGTTTTGTCCTATTGACAGTGTCCTTTGCCTTACAGAAGCTTTTCAGTTTCATGAGGTCCCATTTATTAATTGTCAATCTTGGAACCTGAGCCATTGGTGGTCTGTTCAGAAAGTTGTCTCCTGTTCCAATCCATTCAAGGCTACTTCCCACTTTCTCTTCTATTAGATTTAGTGTATCCAGCTTTATGTTGCTGTCTTTGATCCATTTGGACTTGAGTTTTGTGGAGGGTTACAACTATGGATCTATCAGCATTCTTGTACATGCAGACTTCCAGATAAACCAGCACTATTTGTTAAAGATGCTTTTTTCTAGCCACTGTATGGTTTTGGCTTCTTTGTCAAAGATCAAGGTCCATAGGTGTGAGGGCCTATTTCTGGGTCTTTGATTCTATTCTATTGATCTGTACATACTCAGGGAAAGAAGAATGTATACACATAAATTACTAAGGATTAAATAATTTAGGAGAGACCTCAGAAGGTCAAAAAATTAAAATCATCTAGAAAAGGGTAAGTGACTAAGCAGCCAATTGGTGACCTCAAGCACAGGGATGGCAGATGACAGAATCATAATCACTTGTCTCAAACCTAGGGAAAAAATATTGGTGAAAACACAATTGGGGGAAAAACATTTTCCTTGAACAAAGATGGCCTGCTGGCTGTCACAGAAGGGATCAAGAGGTCACTGGAAGAAATAGCAACCTCTAAGACAACTGCCTTTATCTGTATGCAAGCTCAGGGTGTCTAAGGACAAAAATCTAAGAAGCTCATACTGATAAACAGTCCACTGCCTCATCAATAAGAAATGGTGTACTTGGCTTATAAATGAAAAGCATATGGAAGGAGAAAATAAAAAGAGAAATAACAGAATTTTCAGACAAAACTCAGAGAAATTATTTGTATCCCTTTGTGTTTCAGTTCATGCTATAAAAATAACTTATGGGGAAAACTAGAGAGGCAATTTGGTCAGCAGAGTGTTTGCAGAGTGTTTACTGCACAAGCGTGAAAACTTGGATTTGACCCACAATACCCTTAGAAAACCAAGCATGATGTACACTTGTGATCTCAGCCCCAGGGAGGTAGAGACAGGATAATGCTGGTACTCAATGATCAGCCAGTCAAGCCTATTCAACAATCCTAGATCCCACCAAGGGATGTTGTTCCAAAAAAATAAGAAAGGAGAGAGAAAGAGAGAGAGAGAGAGAGAGAGAGAGAGAGAGAGAGAGAGAGAGAGAGAGAGAGAGAGAAAAGGATTGCTCCTGAGGAATGACACCCAAGTTAACCTCTGGCCTATACACACACACACACACACACACACACAGCACCACAGCACACAGCACAACTAACATTTTCAGTAAAATATCTAAACTTTTTAAATGTAACCCAATGCAGAAATTATCATTTAGATGATAAACTTTGAAAGACATTTTCTAAAGCAAATGTTTGCTAATAAGTTGGAAAACACTCCAATAAAAAATATCCTATAAGATATACTCCGTTTATGTACTAACTTTTCAAAGAATAAATAAAATACTTTAGAAATAATGTAAATTTTAATATTTTCATAGATATTTTCATTATATTTCCTGTGTATTTGAGTTTTGCCTACATGTCTACGAGTCATATACATGCAATGCCTGAAAAAGCCAGAAAAAGGCATATAGATTGCCTGAAACTGGACTCACAGATGGTTATGAACTTCTATGCGGGTGCTGGGAATCAAGCCAAGGTCTTCTGAGAGAGTAGCCAGTGCTTCTAACCACTGAAGCATCTCTCTAGCCTCTGGTTCAATATTTTAAATAAAAGATAAGTCCTAACTTTGGATCTAAAATGAAGATACTTTCATACTCTGGTCCTGAGACGATTCTTATTCTCAGTTTACCCATCCTTAGTAGTCCCATCCCTTCTGTCAAAATCAAGAGCAAACTGTACAGGATCAGTCTCCTGGTAGAACTGTGTGAGCCTCAAAGTTTGTCCTTCCCAAATAAAGTGTGGAGCTTGAGAGGAATCTCTGCAGAAGAGGAGGTAGAAAGAATGTAAGAGCCAGAAGTGGTTGGCAACTCTAAGGAAACAGCATTCCCAGACACAACAGAGGTACTGTACATATGAACCCACAGAGACTGTGGCAGCATGCACAAGATCTGCACAAGCTCAAGCTAGACTTGCATTCTTGATCTCAGCATTGAGAAGGGGAAGTAGACACCACGTCCCACCCCTGCCAAGAAGCTATTTGTGATTGATGCCTGCTGAGAAAGAAAAAAATCAATTTTCTTCTATAGAGTATATCAGTTACTGGGTATATCAATCACACTCTTGGTTAGGCCTCATACTTGGGAGTAGCTGGACTACACAAAACAGACTCCATGCTTTTTGCATGCTTTTATAGTGATGCTGTTGGCTTGTTGTTTTGTTTTGTTTGCCATTTTGTTTTAGGGTGGTGTTTTTGTTTGCTTACTTGCTTGTTTGACTGAGGAAGAAATGACATCAAATTGGATGGAGAACTTGGTGAGGGAGAAGAATATGATCAATATATTATATGAAAAATTAATGTTATTTTTTAAAAGTATGGAACATGTCTATTACTTTTCAAATAAGTAACCTTTGCCAAAATTGCTGAAACAGAAATGAAGAGATGGTTCCGTGGTTTAGGGTGCTTCCTACTCTTGCAGAGGACCAAGGTTTGGTTCCCAACACCCGTACCATGGAATTCACAACTTCAGTTCCAGGGTATCTGATACCCACTTCTGACCTCTGGACTGACTAATGACTTCAAGAACTGATGGCACACACAAAGATGCACATAAACAAAAATAAATAAAACTTTAAAAAGACCAAGAATATTTCAGGGAAATTATGTAGCCTGCTTTTACATAACACAGCAGTGTTTTGTACTTCCTAGAAAATGAAAATCCTGAAAGGAAATAATGGAATGTCGTTTAAAGTATTTTTTATAAAAGGCAAGGTGACTGGGAAGATGACTCAGAGATTATGAGTACTTTCTCTACATGCAATCATAATGACCTGACTTCAAATCCCTAGCACCTACATAAAAAGCCAGGCATGGCTGCACATAACAGTAACAGCAGCAGTGTGAGACAGGCAAATTCCAAGCGCTCAGTGGTCAGCTAGCCCAGCTGAAACAGCAACCTTCCAGTTCCCTGAGAAACCCTGTCTCAAGGCAGCAAGGTGAGGAGCAAGAAAGGCAAACCGCTCTGCCTTATACCATCCATGTATGATTAAAGGCAAGCACCTTCCCTGCACACCTGTGCGCATAAACCACACACATACACCAGACATGCACTCATGTACAAATGGATAAATAAAAAAAGCAAAAATATGGGCACCCTGTGGCCTTCATGGTGACTATAGCCTCTCAATGAAGAGGCTATTTTGTACAGTCATGGTGTCCAATGGGTTTATGGGTTACCTTTTCCACATCTAGATGTGTACACAGTTATTGCAGTCCCTGGTTTCTTACTAGAAGTAGAAGTTGGAACAGCACCTAAATGGGTTGTATAAAAGGAATCATATAATCAAACTTGACTGTGGGTTCAGGAGGGTTTAAGAACCTATTACCATATACTACAGCCTCAATCCTTCCCTCTGTCCCCTGCTTATGCCTCTTGTGACCCTCCTGTTACTTTCAATACCTGTCATCTTTTGAAAACATTATTACCTCATAATGGAAGCTCATCCCAACCCCTTATACTAAAACTTCTGTATTTTTACTGTTAGAATTCTGAAAATAATTGGCCTGGAAGATAGAGTTGTTCAAAATATGCTTAAATTGCTGAACATTATCAGTGAGTATTTACCAATATGTTTTGTGTCTAGTTTGTCATTTCAGGAGCCTTCACAGTAAAAGCAGCAAAATATCGAAGTAAATATATGGTAAGTTGAAATTTTGGGGATGTCTCTAGTATGTGCTTTTACAAAACATAACAAGAGGTTTGAATGAAAAGATAATGTTGGGGCCGGAGAGATGGCTCAGCAGCTAAGAGCACTTAAGGCTCTTACAAAAAACCTAAGTTCAGTTCCCAACACCCATATTGGCTCACAACTTCCAGTAACTCCAACTCCAAAAGATGTCTCCCTCTGAAGGCCTCTGAAGGCAACTGCACTCACATGTACATAAATACACACACACACACACACACACACACACACACACACACACCTTTACAATAAAGAAAAAATAGCCTCTAAACAATAAAGGAATCTACCATCTCTAAAAAAATAAATTAAGGAAATAAAAACCTGAGATCAGATTACTTAATGTAGACTGGATACACTAGTTAACAATCACAATGACCTTCTGCAAAAACATCTAAGTTTAAATAATTTTGTTTGAATTTCAACCCTTAAACATTGCCTGAATGTTATTAAATTTGTTTATAGGATCTAAAACCTTTCTTCTGTGTGAACATTACTGTGCTTTAATAGTTCATTTTCTGGTCTATCCTCTTTGGGAATACAGTTGTAATTTGTCTCAAAGTAGGGAATTTTCCAAGGGGGGAACAATCTGTCCATAGTATAAGTGGAAAATGTTTAGAATTAAAAATATTAGAATTTTAGACCTGAAAGACACCTTAGACATCAATTGATCTTATCTTAAAGTTTTACACATTAAGAACTCTGGGAACGGATAGATGGCTCAGGAATAAGGAGCAATGGCTGCTCCTACAGAGGACTCAGTTCCACCCACCTTCCAGGACCAACATCTTGGCTCATAGCCATCTGTAATTCAGCTTCAAGTGGATCGAACACCCTCTTCTGTTCTCTGTGAGCACTGCATGCCTGTGATAACACTGACAAGCATCCAGGCAAAACATCCATAAGCATAAATAAATATCAAATCAAAAAAAAATGTTCTGATGTCTGTCATGTTGGCAGATGGTCCCAGATAATAAAAACCTAGGATTCAAACATACTAACTTGTGTTTGTCTTTATGTCTACAAGTAGTCTTACAGCTGACTCACACGATTATAAAATACAAAGGTTTTAAGAACTGATAGAATTCAAAAATTGGCAGCATCTGATAATAAATTCATGTTACATATAAGATTTCATGTAAACCAGGAACAATGGCAAGCATAAGCATACTTTGAAAGCGTCACAAACTAAAACAAGTTTAAACTAGATTTTAAAAGTAAAATAAAAACAGATAAACAAAAAAATAAAACATATCCAAAGTACTTTTTCTGAATATTGTATGTTTATTCTGTGTCTCCTTTTCAGCTTCTCTGTACTATGTCCATGAACATACTCTGCATAATTATCACGCTCATTGCAGCCAGCCTAACAATAGTGGAATTGGCTCATTTCCGTTCTGTATCATACAGGAATTATGGACAAGCAGTAAGTAACTGATTCTACAGAATCATCTTTTTTTTTACATTTGCAATACTTTGAAAGTTTAATACAATATAGTTTGATCACAGTTACCATCCACTTTCCCTCAACTCCATTCAGATCCACCCCCATCTCCCTATTCCAATTTCATTTTTATGTTCTGTTTATTTCAATAACCTGTGGAGACTATTCTGTGCTGCCCTTGTGCCTACAGGTGAGAGGCCATCCCTCTGGAGTGTGATCAATCTCCCTAGGGCTACACACTTAAAGAAAACTGGTTCTTCTTGCCCTGAAGCTGTCAACTGTCAATAAACCCTCAGTTAGGGATAGAGACTCCTGAGCTGTCTCTCTCCAACCTCTTCCATGCTAGAATATTGATCGGTTTGATCTTATGTGCATCTTGTTCAGGAAAACACAAGTGCTGTGAGTTTGTGAGTCCAGCAGCCCCAGCATGTCCAGAAGACCCAAAGATCATGGTCCTCTGTGACCTCTGCCTCTTAACCAGCTGTTTGTCTCCTCTTCCAAGGTGGTCCCTGAACCACGTGTGCGCGCGTGTTTGTGTGTTTGTGTGTGTGTGTGTGACATGTATGTCAAGGCCAGAAAATAACTTCAGGTGTCATTTCTCAGGCATTGACCATCTTTGATTTTTGAGATAAGGCCATTAGCCTCAAACTCCCCCAAATAGGCAAGGCTATCTGGCTAGTGAGCTGTCTCTGCCTCCTCAACACAGAGTGTGCACTCTCAATAGCCCCTCCTACTCTCTCTCTCTCTCTCTCTCTCTCTCTCTCTCTCTCTCTCTCTCTC